CAGCAACAAGGTATGTCCCCATTGTATCTGTGTCTTCATAAAGGTCAGATATGTACTGCTGTACTAAAAGGCTATTGTACTCCAGTACTTTTTAGTACTATGGTACTAAAAGGGCTCAGGAGGTATCCAAGGAGTTAAAATGAGCAATTTTGGTAATTTCTGAAGCATGGAATGAATGCCTGGGACTAAAACACTGAAAAAAAAAATACTGAGGATCAAAAGCTGCCATGGTGGGGCTTCAAATAACCGCTTCTGACACTATCCCTCCAGATCCAACAGCCTCTGCCGGGTTTCCAGAACAATCTCCTCCATCACCTCTGGTTTGAGAATATCCTTGATCTGGAGTGGAAAGAAGAGTAACATTGGCACCAAAGTACTACCATCGCACTCCAAGTTAACTTTGCCAGCCTACTATTTCACATAAAAACCATAAGAAATCAAAGGAGAATCTACTAACAACTCCCAACCTTTACTGAAGGCCATAAACCAGTATTTGGGAAGGGAAAAAACATCTTAACCAGAAGCAGAGTTCAAAAGAACACCCCATCTAGCTGCGTGTACTGCCACTGTGGATGAAAGAAAAAGCCACTTCAGATCTTAGCCATTTATGACAGGAGAACTGGTAATAACTGTCCTGGCAGAACCTACAAACTCACGGAGCAAAGGTGTGCAACAGCAAGAGCTCAAACTGAGGGAGCATTCAGCACGTGAAGAAGTGCTATAAACAGAAGGCCAGTCTCTGTATGATGCATGATGTTTGCTTTTTCACTTGTTCTCAAACTGCACCTTAGCCTCATGCAAACTCTAATGCAATGCTGTTTTCACAGGGATCACAGATGGTCCATAATCCTACCCAGCAAGAGATAAACAACACGTATCTAAAAATTAACTATTTCTCTATAGAAATAGGTGGGCTTTGCCAGAGCCAGAACCCTTCAAACTATTCCTGAAAATGTCCCAAGGCAATTTATGTCACGTGTAAGGGGGAAGTTCATATTATCACTCACTACAAAATCCTTTGGAAAGATAAAAAGCCCTACCACATAACTTATTAACTTCACAGCAACTGATGCAGCCTTTCCAATCCCTCCCCAGAGTGTGGAATAAAGTATACAACACTGGCTTTTGTACCTGATGAGAAAGGGATGCCTCATAGCAATACAGGATGCTGGTGTCAAAGAGCATCATCTTCTGAGTAGCCAGAGCCACAATGCAGTTTCGAAGCCGTGAGATCACCTCCCGGTCAGACAAGGGAACTGGCTGAGGAAGGACAGACAAAAAAAGAGATGAATACACAGGAAAATAATGCAAACCTACTGTAAAAACGTTTTGCCACAGATCTAAAACCCATTTCTTGAAAGCCTCAAGTTATTGATGTGCCTCTTGGACCACGTTGAACTAGCAAAGCACCATTGGTAGAACAAGGTTTGTCATCCTCCGTGTCCTCTCACCTCTAAGTTGGTGGTGAAGCCCCCTGCCTCTTCATCTTTCTGCTCAGTGGTTGGGTAGATCCAGATGAAACCGTTGTTGCCGAGGATCACGGATGCACCACAGGGCAAGTCATGGAAGTGAGTCTTCTGGCGTTTCACAAGGGAGGGCGAGACCTGAACGAGCACACCCTGGCCAAGCTGCAGAAGAGACCACAATACTCAGCCTGAGACATGAGCCACCATGAGTAACATCAAGTCACTGGCATGTACTCCATTTTTGGGCTAAGAACTGACCAGTTTTAGCATCCTTTCCTGTGAAACAGTGAATATAAAACCTGCCTGCCTCTGGGAGTGCTGGGAGGATTAGCTAATGCCTGTGCAGTCCTTTGAAGATGAAGAATACTCTAAGTGCTTAGCACAAATGTTAATAATATCTCGATCGTAACTAGACATCAACCATTCCTGCAGAAAAATGAGGACTGAGAGGCCCAATTTAGAAGAACACTTTCCCTCTTAATCCAGTCGCTGTCCTTCACCCTTTGTGCAATAAGCACACTTCGCTTTCATCTTTTAAGTGCTAATACCCTCGGTCTAGTAATCCTGACTGCAGCCTGCGCTCCAATGGCCCCTTGGCTTATTTCAATGCGCAAAACCAGAGATAAATGCCGACTGCATAAAGCCTAAAATAGAGCCCTGGAGTGAGAAACAAGTCACAGGGGCAATGACCTGCAGAAGAGGAACGATGAAGTTTGAGCCAGAAGATTTTTCTCCCTGGGTTTCAGCTCCCAAGCAGCTAGTGGGGGAAAACAGGACTCACAAGCCGTAACAGTGACAGCAACAGCTCAAAGCGCACGCTCTCTGCATTGGGGAACTCTGCTTTGTGCTCCAGCATGGGAGCTAAGCCTCTTCCTAACCTGCACAAATGGATTATAACACCTTGTTCTTCTCCAGAGCTTTTCTTAAATATCTCCCCAAAAGGCCGAATCGTGCTGTTACCTTGATATAAATCAAATAAGTTCTACTGACATGGATAGAGTTGTGTTATATTTAAGAAAGGCCTGGCCTTCTAACACAGGACCACTAGCCTAGCTGTAACTCTCTGATATGCTAAATGGTATTCACCATATCTGGTGAATAACCCTTCACCAGAGCTCTCCCCAAAGGGAGATCTCTTTTTTCCGCCCTTCTCATACCCCTCTTTTTGTAGCAAGCAGATACCATCAGATAAAAAGCTCTAAACTGCTGCCAATTCCAGCCAGTTACGCTGTTTGGTAAACTCTTCAAAGCCGAACTGAACAAAATTAGGCCAAGACCAAGTGCTTTTGAGCAACTTACCTTCCCGTATTTCAGACTCCGGGTGTGCAGCGATACAGCCCCATCAGAGAACACAGACTGGACCTCTGCCTGTCAGGGCCGGTCAAGGAAACAAGCTCCCCACTGCTGCTCAGTGCCAAGAGCAACCGGCTGCCCACAGCAGAGAGCTCTCTGTGTCAGCCAGGCTGGCCAAGGTCTAACTGTTCCCCCTGTGCCCCCTGACTCTTCTGTTTGAGTACAAGCAGTACAAGGATACACTGATGAGATCCCCTTCCTGCAGATAGTCCCTCATTGCAAGCTCGTCTTCTGCCGATCTCCTTCTCTGAAAAGAACAATTACAGAAAAGTTATACATCACTCAGAATTAGAGAACATTAATTAATACCTACACTGGGGGGGGACCATCTCTTTAGGATGCTGTGAAAAACACAATCACCAAGGGAACTCAGGTAAAATGGTCAGCACACCTTTAAATCATGGAAGTGTTTATATCCAAATAACCCTAAAAGTTGAAGTTTATTAGAGCACTGCAGACTCTCCTGCAGGCACAAAAAAAAACAACACTACTCGTGTGCTAACTGTGGGAAGGGCTCCAGAGCTTCCTGCTGAGAAAACAGAAGAAGACAGGGCTCTGGCACGTCTCTGCACAAACTGCACTCACCAGTTCCCCACCAGGTAAATTCATAGATGACAGCAACAAGACTGAATCTAGCCTGGAATTGGTTTCCACTTTCCATCGTTTCTGCTGAACCTGGAAAAGAAAAGTTCTATTGCTGTACACTCAGAAAATGAGAAAAGTCTTCAGTGCCTGACAGCTTCACACCGAAAGGCCACGAGCAACGACGTGACCACAACATCCCACCCCAGGGCCTGCACAAGTGCTTCCACCAGCACTGAGACGAGCAGGAGCTGAGACAGCACCGCAGCTTAATTTTAGCTTCACCTTTTTGAAAAAGCACATGCTAACAGTGCTTCTGTAACCAAATATATTCTTCTCTGTTCTCAGTATGGGTTTTATTCAGTTTTTTTTAGACTGAAGGAGCATCACATCCAACCCTGCAGCACTCAGCTGTCCCGCAGCGCCAGGCACCACAACGCCCAGACAGCAGCACGCTTTTAGGAGCTCCCTAAAACCGCGCCTGCAGGCTTTACCTCCGTGATCCTGCCAACCACGATGTCGCCGACTTCACCGTTGTACCTGGCGGGGGCACAGACAGCAGTTTATTCATTATTAATCCCATCTTTCCCCACAGCAACCACCCACACCTTGCCTCCCGCACCACCCACGCCGTAGCCAAGCCTGAGGCGCTCACCTGGTCTTCAGCGCCTTGACGCACACCAGCTTGTTCACCCTCTCCACAGCACCGGCCACCGAGGCGATCAGCTTCTCCTCATCCACGTAGGTGCCATGGCCCCTGTGGAGGGAGTGGGCACCTGAAGACAGCCCCGCACCAGCCACCCCTCACCTCCCCGCCGCTTCCCCCGCCTCCCCACCTCATGTAGCCCGTGTCCGTGGTGATGGTGTCCCCCGGCGCCACCAGGTGCTTCTCCTCGCCCCGCGACCCGCTCGGCGCCACCACCTTGCGGGCCACCGGCAGCCTCATGGTGACCGCCGCCATCTTGGGAACGGGCGGCGCGGCGGCAGCTCCCCCTTCCACACGCGCCTTCCGGCCGCCATCTTGGCTGCTGGCAGAAAGCGGCGCGCCTGAGGCGTGGGCGCCGCCATCTTGAGTGAGGGCCGCCGTGAATGGAGAGGGGGGGTAGCGTCAGGTGTGGCGCCGCCTTCGTGCCGGGCGGCCATTTTGTTTGCTGGCACGACCGGGAGGCGAGGGCTTCACTGCGTTGGGATCGAAGGGGAGAGGGCGGCCATGTTTAGTGCGGGCAGGGCGCCTTCACCGCTGTGCCAGGCCCCTGAGGTGCTGAGGCGAGGGGGGGGGCAGGCCCAGCATGGAGAGCAGGGCCCCCAGGCTCTTAATTTCTGCTTATGTGTATGTGTACATGCAAATTATTTCCCATTTTTTCAGAGACGATGCTGTTATCGTCTCCCAAGGTGAAATAAAGGCGCCAGGAACAGCTCCTCACACCACAACCGTGGAGGTGCTGAGCACTGACAGCCCCCAAGTGAAAGCCTTGGCTTAAGCGAGGGCTGAAGGATTCACCCCTGGCAGCGCTGCTCTAGCATTAAATAACACAATTGTGTGGAATTTTAACGCATTTCCTTCAAATGCCAGTTAGAGTCTCAGAGCTGCTGTGAAAATACAGAGAAGCCAGGGCTGACCTTCCTTGAATGCTTCGCTTCCTCAGGACCAAAATCAAATATTTCAAGCAAGGCTTGCACCTGTAGCCTGTATCAGCTGAAATACAACTATCATTTCAGAGAAGATTTTAAAAGATATCAACAGTTTTTCTTCTAAACAGACTGTAAAGTGGAGGCAGCCCAACTAGTGCCACCCCATCTGTTACCAGCACGGACACATCCCTTCTCTTTCGACCCGCAGAAGGGTTTTTGTTTCCCGGAGCCGACCTTTCCTCTTCTCAGTGCCTGGTCTAACACCCAGTGCTACATCTTTTTTGCCACTTAATTCCCTCACGTTATTTGAAACTTAACTCTTCCTGCCCACTACGTTCTTCCACCCAGCACGGAGCAAAAATAAAGCCCTCCAAACTATCCATCTTCTAAATGATAAATGTTCCAAGTAATTTTTATTTAGAATACAAGAGAGAGGTACAAATGTATTTACACTGTGTACATATACAATCAAATAATATATAATATCAAAGTTTTGTAAATAATGTTTTACATAAATATTTACAAAGTTAAAGTGACAGTTTTTTTCTTTTTCCTTTTTTTTTTTTTTTTTTTTTTTCCGGAAGTAAAACACAGTTTGTGAGAACTTTATACACCTTAGACTTATAATTAATATTAGAATACCTTCTTTCAAGCCTTATGATACACGGCTCCTCTCGCATGTGGCAGGACTCCAGAGGGCGCTTAGAGCTGTCCTTGGGGACGGAGCTGGCCCAGGGACGGGATTTCTGTCCCCAGAGGGCAGCAGAAGGAAACCCGAAATGTTCCCTCGGGGCTGCAGGGAGCGAGGGGCAGCGATGCTGGAGCAGCACCCCACAAAACCTGCCCGTGGCTGGGCATTGCCGGTGGGCACATAGCGCTGGGGGTGTCCCTTGGCTTGTCCCCTTCACCACGGCACCCCAACCCCATCACCATGGGCTGGAGGAAGGCAGGCAGCGGGGCTGAACGCAGCTTTGGGGGGGAACACGGCTGTTTGCTGAATCAGGGCTCCCCAGGAGGGAAATCTGTCCCTTGGGAAGGGCCAGCAGAGAGAAAGCTGATGGCTCCAGCAGGGCCGTGCCACGTCTCTCTGCTGGCCGCTTGCTGGGACAGTGACAAGGGGCACAAACATTTTTTTCTTTGTCAAATTATCTGTAAAACCCAGGTGTGATTCATCCAGGCATGGCCTCGAGGCTGCCCTCCTGTCGTGCACCAGCAAATCCACCAGACACCGTGCCCTGTGTGTTGAGGCACCATCCCCTGTCCCCTGTCCCCCTGCCAGCCCCGGGGACAAGCAGCTCACCCTCGGGGAGCACCCCACGCACCCGGCGATGCTCCTAAATTCAAGCAGCTCACCACGCAAAGCAGCCCTGCCTCTGCCCCCCCCAGCTCTGCCGAGGGCTCCCGACTTCTTGCATGTCTCACCACCAGTCTTTTGCCCGTTGGCAGCGGCTTTCCAAAACCCCCCGCCGCCGTGCCGGGGGCTCACAGCACCATGGTGGGGATGTGATGGGCCAGGGAGGCGGGATGGGGCACGGGCAGGGCAGGGGAGTGAGCCTGCAGGGAGGCGTTGGGGGGCCGGTGACGGGCGCTTTTCTGGTGTGCCCGCAGCCCGGCGAGCTGGGAGTAGGCACTTTGGCAAACCTGGCACTTGTAGGGCCGCTCGCCGGTGTGCAAGCGGACGTGGTTGCGGAGGGTGGAGGACTGGCTGAAGCGGCGGTTGCAGAAGCGGCACACGAAGGGCTTGTCCAGGGTGTGGATGCGCATGTGGGAGCGCAGGTTGCTGCGGGAGTTGAAGCCGCGGTGGCAGATGACGCAGCGCATGCGCCCGGTGGTGCTGGCCCCCGTCTCCACCGTGTGGAAATCCTCTGGGGACGACAGATGCAGCGGTCAGGCGCTGCCCTCTCGGGCTCACCCCCATTCCCGAGCTGCCCACGGCACTGGCTGCCCTAAATCACCGCCCCGTGTGCCCTCGCTGGCTCTCCCCTGCCTGCTGTGGATGCCCATGGGCAGACACAACCAGCCCTGGCACGGCAGGATCTCAGGCTGGTGTTTGTGGATTTGGGATGGGGACAGAGCTGGGAGCAGGCTGACCCCAATTAAGGTGAGGGGGATGCTCAGGCTGACCCATCACCCCTGCAGAAAGGATTTCACATGGGATGCGCTTTCCCCTTCCTTTGGCTACCTCTCATTTCTCCTGCACCTACGTGGCCAAAGCAGCCAGGAGCAGAGAGCAGGAGTGACGGGAGGGTGACGGGGAGCTGCCAGCAGTGACCTGCCTCAGTCCCAGCTTCACCCCGTGCCCTGCTGGGCTCTGACCCTGCTCACACAGAGCGGGGAGCATGGAGGGGCTCGGCTCCGAGCCCAGCACCCCAAAAGGACCCGCTGCCTGCCCATAAATGAGCACCCTGGGGAACCACTGAAACAGGCAGAGTGAAAGCCCAGGGAAGGAACAGCCTGCGCTGGTGATTTGGATAAAAAACAGTTTGTGCTGCTAAATGCAGGGCAGAAAAATAAATGACTGCATCCCAGCCTCTTGCAGTGCGTCAGGGCTCCTTCCTCCCTGCCCAGCAGTCACTGGTCGCAGCACCAGCACCAGCCAGGGACAAGTCAGCACAGAGAGGGTCCCCAAATCCCAGGGACCTGCCCCAGCTGCATGGCTCTGTCCTGGGGGAGACAGGTGCTGCGTTACAGCCGAGGCAGATCAGCCTCTCCCAGGAAGATCGTGGGGCTAGGGAGAGCTGCGTGGGGTTGTGTGCCCAGCACGGGGCGTGCTGTGCTCCTCTGTGGTCCCCGTGTTTGTCCCCTGAGAGCTGAGGGGGTCCCTGCCCCACACCCTCAGAGCTGGGGATGGGGCAAGCAGAGAACGAGACGGATGCCGTGCCCGTGTGTGTGTGCGATGTTACTCACCATGCTTGTTCTTCTTCTGCTCCTCTTCCAGCCCCGGCACGCCCGGGATGCCCAGGAAGGTGTTGTGGGAGTTCCCGTACCAGACCAGCAGCTCCTGATCCGGAGGAATCATCTGGAGACAGACAAACAGACGGGGCTGTCGGGATGGGGCGGCTCTACCCGCATCCTCGGCCAGTCGCTGCAGACCCCGCTGGCCGTCCCCCACCCCTAAAACATCCCGCTGACATCAGGTCCTGCCGGAGGTCCTGGGAGGAAGGTGACAATTGGTGACCTGGCAGCGACAGAGCACGGCCCCTGTGGGTCCCTGCAGCTCAGGGAGGTGAGGGTGCAGCGGCACGGGGAAATAGTTCTGTTCCCTGGAGCGAGCAGCCAGCAAACAGCGCCCAACCTCGCCACGCAAAGCAGCCATGGCTGGGAGCACGGATGCGCTCACACCAGAGCAAATCCGCAAGGCAGCACCAATAACAAATAACCCTAAAAAAATTGTATTTTTTTCCCTTGCAGGTTCCTAGTGCTGAGAAACTGATTTAGAAACAGCCCGCTGTTGCACAGGTCAGCTTTCGATATGCAGAGTGATTCAAGAAAAGCATCATTTCCACGAAACACAGATCTGAGATCACCAGAGCACTGAAAATGTGCCTCATTTGAAGCACCAGGAAGCAGTGGCAATTGGGTTCCATATCCTTAAGCCTCCCTCTGCGTAAGGACCTCACTGGGGCTGCAGGGCGAGAGGCTGAGAAGGAGAAGCCGATACCGCTTCCCCTCCCAAATTCGTGCTGTTTCTCTGCATCATTTTCTCTTAACAGAAAGTTAATTATTTTAAATATAAACAAATAAAATATTGCTGGAAGGATAAAGTATATGTGCGTGGTCTGCTGTTGCACATGCCAGCAGCTCATCCGCATGCACACACCCCAAAATAATTTAAATTACCCCCGAAGAACCTCGTGGCCTTCAGATAGAAGGCCAAAGCTCAAGGCCCTCACCCTATTTTTCGGTATTTTCCTGTATTGTACTTTCCAACTTGGAATTGCTGAGGAAGAGGATGGGAAAAGCAAACCAGCGAGTAAGGGCAGGAACAAGCAAAACCGCATGAAAATACAAACGCTGGATGGTGAGGAAGGCACTCAGTAAGCCCAATATTTTGGCAGGCAGGTGGAAAAGGAATCCTAAGAGTCACCATGCTGGGGTCCTGGCACAGCGGGGCCGGACTGCTCGCTGGTGCTGGGTTGGGAAATGGGGGAACCACCGGGGCTGGTGGGGCTCGGGGGGTGACGGTGCCCTTGCAGGCGCCTGCTGCTGGCCGAGGGCACCACCAGGAGCAGGAGACGTTCACCTGCCCTGCCCCGATGAGGTCTCGGTGCTGGGTTTGCAGCGGGGCGAGGTGGGTGCCAGGGGGGACACGAGGCTGCCAGGGCAGGGGGCTCGCTCCCGTCTGAGTCGCTGCGTTTGTGCGACACCGAGCTAGGGGATTAGCAAGCAGGGAGAGCCACAACAGGAAAAATTTCTGCAGCCCCTCAAACTGCCACCCAGCTCCTCAGCCCCTCGGTGCTCCCCTTCCCCACTCCCTCACCAAGAAAGCCCCAGCCCCAGCCCCTTCCCCTCCCCATGTGGCACCAGAGCCAGGCACGGGCACCTCTCATGCCCACGTTCCCATCACGCAGGGTTCAGCTCTCCACATCTCAACTTCACCGCCTGCGCTGAGGGAATTCAACTCATCTGCTCCGGTGCCCAATGCTCCAGCCTGGGGGCGAGCGAGCCCGTGGATTTGATATCGCTGTGCAATAACCCTCTGCTCGCACCACCCAAATACTCATCTCACCTGCCCCACTGCCCTGCATAGGGAAGCCTGCAAGGGCTGACACACAGCCGCACCCCGAGCTACATCCCTCAAGATCTAATGAAAAAAAAAAAGCAGTTGTGCTTTTTTTAAGCGCACCACACCAGGCACAGCTGCCCACAAGAATATCAGCTCTTAAAGCCGGGCGCAGCTAAAAGCCTGCAAAGGGAACCCCAGGATGAGGAGAGCAGCACGGAGATGCTCAGGGCTCCTGCTCGCAGACCCCGGTGAGACACGCACTCTCCCGCAGCAGCAGCGGAGCTGTTCTTCCCTCACCCCACTCCTCGCCTTCCCCATCCCACGGCACCGATCCCAATCCCTGGTGCTGGCTCAGTGCAGGACTGGCCGTGGTCCTGCCCCACAGCCCTCCTGCTCCTCTGTCAGCCACCGCAGGAGCCCAAAGGATCAGTGGAGCTGCCCTTGCCTACGGTGCCCGCGGGTGCTTGCGCTCTTCCCAGCCGCGCTCCCTCTCCCCGCAGCAACAGGAGCTGTCCCCTCGCACCGCTCTAAACCCGGGTAGCTGCCCGCTGACATCTCCCCGAGCTCCTCCTGCAATAGGATCATTTTATGGGGACGTTGCGCACAAGCAGGGCTGGTGCCCACCACGATGCTGCTGGTATGTACGGGCACGGGGACGATGCTGCTGTGGTAGCTGGGTGCTTGCCTCCATCCCAGCACCCGCAGCTTTCACCCTGCACCCTGGGGTGTCCCCGGGACCCAGCGCCTGCCCGCACGTTGTACAGAAGCGTGAGGATGAGCTGGGCAGGATGAGGCCGGTGCCCACAGCAGGATGCCCGAGGCATGGCTGCAGCAGCAGCGGTGCCACTCCCTGCCCAGATCCCACAGCCCTGTCCTCCTCCTGCTCCATTTGCACCCGGAGCCGCTGCGACCCCCGGGTGAAAGCTGCGGAGCCAAGCACAGCCAGCACCTGGCTCCGGGCACTCACAGAACCCCCAGATTTTTCCCTGCTGCACTGAAGCAGGTTCTACACGCACAAAAATCCCATTTTTCAAGACAGCATCAAAACCCTGCTCCTGCCCAAAGCCCCATCTGAGCCAGAATCGCAGCTCTTTTCACATTTTATGCCCCAAAACGAGCTTGGGCAGTGTTTGCTCTCCCCGTGCTCAGCACACCTCACCCCATGAGCCCACCAGAAGGGAACAGAGAAGAGAAGGGTGCTTCCCTGCCTCCCTGAAGCTTGCACAATGACATTTCCCCAAGGGTCTGGGTGCCCTGCGCTCCCACGGGTGCTCCAGCAGCAGCCCCACAGACAAGGGAAGGGACCTGCAGAGGTGGCTTCCCAGCGCCCCGCTCCCCTCCTGCAGCTCCCCGTTGCCTCCCGACCCCGCGTACCTCGATGGCCTTGTAGAAGATGCTGTTCCCGATCTGCACCACCTCCAGGTTCTGCTCCTGCTCGTTCCGGGCACATTTGATGTAGGTCATCCAGCTGCGGTGGTCCTCCTGGCTGGCATCGATGAAGTACCGCACCGTGCCGTCCTCATTGAAGACCTGGGGGGGGACACACACAACGCTCGGTGGTCCAAGCCCCTCCACACAGGGATCACAGCGCTGGGGGATGCTCTGGGATCACGTCCCCGGCTGGGGACAAGCCCCAAAGCAGCACGGCCTCGGGGCTGAGACCCTGCAGGCAGCCAGGAGCTGCTGCCTCTGGACAGGAGGTGCCTGAACCCTTCCTGATTGTGGTGCTGGGTGGGCACGGCTGGTTCTCTGCCCGGCTCCCTGCCTCAGTGCCCCTTCTCGGCGGAGCCCAGCCCCGATGGGGCTGCTCAGCACCCTGCCACCACCTCGGGGGGAACGGGGTCCCTGCCGGAGCTGGCCCTGTAGGAGGATGTGTTGTGGGGTGGCAAAAAATGCGAGGCGAGCTTCTACTCTGCATGAAATAATAATAATCATCGGTGCAAACCTGGCACTGGGTGAAACCAAAACACTGAGCAAAACCCTTTCTGCTAACAGTGATGTCCTGGCAGCTCGGATCACCCCAAAACCCATGGAGCAACCACACCGGGGCTGGGACAAAGCAGGGGATGGGCAGAGCCGGTTTCACCCACGGTGCACGCTGCAGGGAGCCTCCAGCCGGGCGTTTCACCCCAAACGGGGCAGGGCAGGGCAGGATGTGACCCCGCAGCGTGCGACACGAGCAACGGGGGCTTGGGGATGCTCCGAGGGCGGGCTGCAGGAGCCTCGCAGCCACCCGCAGCCCCACGGGTCTCCTAAAGCAGCCTGCCCTGGGGACAGCCGGGGGAAACTGAGGCACGCCGAGCCGAGGACAAAGCCCCCCGGGGGCCGTTACCTCCCACATGAGGTTGTTGTTCTTGCACAGGTCCACGTGCTCGGGCGAGATGACCCTGCCCGTGAAGGGCCCCATCTCCGTGCCCGCCTTGATCCACGTCTTGGAGAAGATGCCGAGCCCTTCGCCGGGGATGGAGCTCTGCGCGATGATCACCTCCGACGGCAGCACCAGGCTGGACAGCTTCTGCACCTCTGAGGACGGCGGCGAGAGGGGTCGCTGAGGGACCGGCCGCTGCCTCCCCCCGCACCCCAACGCGCCCCGGGGTCCCCCCATCCCCACCGGGGTCCCCCCATCCTCACCGCGCTCCCCCCCCTCCGAGCCCGGCTGCGCTGTCCCCGGGCCGGGGCCGGGGAGGGGGGCGCGGGGACCCCGAGCTGGCACCCCCAAAGCGCTGCTTTGTGCCGGGGCCGGGGCTTTTAAAGAGCCGGGAGGGATCCTACAAAGCGCTACAAGGTTCCCCTCCAGGGCATTGAGCCGGTTACCTGGGAATAGCGGCCCGGGCCGGGCGAGGGAGCGGGGCTGAGAAAGGGGGTTAAATGGTGTCTATTTCGGCCCATCCAGCAATTTGTCATGCCGTTAAAGTGATCTGCATTCATTAAACTCAAGTAGAAAGAAATTGCTAATTCTAAATTCATTAGTCCTTTAGGAATGCTGTAGCGGTACATTGTGCCTGAATGGCGCGGGGGCTTGTTTAAAAGGGCCCAGGAATTCCTCTTACAAAATGGGGAGATGAGATGGTTGACATATCGTGAATGGAAATGGAATTAGCCTTCACGGTAAATTAAGAGAGGAACAGAAATCCGAGAGGGAGGTGGGGGGAAAGGGAGCCGGGACGAGAGAAAAGACATTGTGCGGGGCCCTGAATGCGGCCGGGGGCGGCTCGGGGGAAAGCAGCGGCCCCGACCCCCCCTCCCCTACCCCCGCTCAGCCCCACGGCCGAGGTGGGAACTTTCTCGGGTCAAACCCGAGTCAAAAAGCGGCCGGCGGCGAAGCCCCGACGGCGGCTGCGGCGGGGGCCGGGCACTCACCTCCGGAGAAGGACTGAGCCAGGACCTCGGCCGTGAAAGCGGTTTTGGGGCCGCTCTTCTCCTCGAAGAGCTGCTCGCCCAGCACGTTCCTCCAGCGGCCGTAGAGGAAGCTGTGCAGGATGTCCGACGTGATCACCTCGGCCAGGGCCAGCCCCTGCGGCTTCAGCCCGGGTTTGAGCACCAGGGCTTCGGCGGGCAGCACCGAGCCCATCATGGGGGCGAGGAGGCGGCCGGGCTCCGTGCGGCTCGGCGGCTCCCGCCCGGCTATATATGAGCTTCATTGACCCTCCTAATTGGTTATTAATGACCTCCCTGACGTTTGCCGGAGAGACTGGGGCTGCCGGAGCGAGGCGAGCCGTCGGAGCCCCCCTCCCCTCCAGCCCTCCCCTCCCCGGGGGTGGGGTGGCTGGAGGGAGGGACACGGCGCTCACACACTCACACACACACACACACACACATATACACACGGACACGCTCACACACACACGGACACGCTCACACACACGCACATACAAAGCACACACCTATAAATTCATACACGCACACGCAGACACACGGACACACACGTGTGCGCACCGATGCGCACCCCTATGCGCCCATACGCACCCCTATACCCACACACACACACACACACACCCCGGATTGCCCCCCAAAAGCCCCCCAAAAGCCGGGAGCAGGACCGGACCTCGCCGTCGGGCACGGCTCGATTCGGTTCTGCTCACTCCGGTTCGGCTCCCGGCTGCTCCCAGCCGCTGCCGGCGCTCGTTTTACGCGCAAAACTCGGTGTTTTGGGGCCGCGGCTCCACACAACGAAATCCGCGCCCCCGATGCCCCCAGACTCGGTTTCTCGGTGCTGTTTGGTCCCTCTCGGCCCCGGCCAACGGGCAGAGCCCCGAGGATCGGTCCCGAACCCCCCCCCCGAGTGGGTCCCAGGGAGCTGCGGCCACCCGCACCCCCGGCTCGGCACCGGCGGCCCCGCTGCGCCTTTGGGGAGCGACCCTCGTGGGGGTCCGCGGTGCCCGGTGCCAGCCCTAATACTGCGGGCCGGGACCCCTCTGTGCCCCCCCTAAAAAAAAATCGGGGATTGGTCCCCAAAGCCGAAGCGGGGACAGCCCAGCCGACACCCAAACGCGTGTCCTGGGGGGGATTTGGGGAACCTTGTGCCGCGGGATAGGGGCTGCGGACCCCGGCCCTGTCCCCTCCCCGGCCCGGGTGCGGCTGCAGCATCACCGGGGCTCGGCCCCCGCAGCACCCCCATCTCTGCACCCCAAAATATTCCCCGGCCCAGCCGCGGGGCTCACACTTGCCACCCCCTCTCTGCCAGCCCTTGGGCACCTCGCAGCCCCCGGGGGGGTCCCCACAACCGCGACCCTCCCTTCCCCGAGGGCCCGCGGCTTTGCTGGCTCAGCAAAGGGTTAATCTTCGCTGGATTTAAACCCAATCCTGCTGTGTCGGAGCTTAGAGCCCTCTCCTCAGCCTTGTTCTTTTGATTTTCATGGGGACAAGGGGCTGCAAAGGGCTGGGCCGGGAGGTGGGGGGAGAAGAGGACGGGCCCCCAAATTCCTCAAGCACTCAGAGCCCGGCTCCCGCACCCCAAACCCAGGGAGAAGGCGAGGCACGGCCGCCCCCAGCCCCTCCGGGACCCCACAGCCTCCGCACCCCAGGGCCCCTAGCAGCCCCCCCGGCGGGCATTTTATAGGGTGAGCCCCTCGGGCGGCTTCTCCCTTTGCTGGGCGTTGCGAAAGCGATCTTACAGCCCAGGTGCAGCCGCTTATTCCTATCAACCCACCCAAGAAAAGGTGCAAACGGCAGGAATCAACCCAAATTTTTGGTTACCGGGGGCGTTTGCTCGGAGAGGGACAGCGCTCTTCCTAGACAGGGAGGGTTAATAACCCGCCAGGACTGGTTCGGGTTTTCATGGACGTAAAAATAAGTTTATTTCGGTTTTCTGCATTTTGAGCGTAGCGAGCCGCCAGCCCGCATCCCAGGCTCGCTCCGCAACGCATCAGGTGGAAGCTCCCAGCACACGGAGCGCTCCGGCTGCTGAGAGCCGGCCCCGCGGACCCCGTTTATTTTTTTTTTCCAGGAACCACATCAACCCTCAAATTGTCCCGTGATAAAAAATATATATATAAATAAATAATAAAATAATAATAATAGCAACAAAAAAAAATAGATGCCCGTAAAAACCCGCGGCTCCCGTGCGCGCTGCGCTGCCGCCCCGCTCCCGGCCGCGCTGGGGGGTGCGGGGGGGCTCGGGGAGGGTGGCGATGGAAAAAGGTGGGAAAAAAAAAAATCCTCCCGTTTTGTGAGGGGCTTTAAATATCCCCAGCTGTTTCCCAAACCTCCTTCCCAGTCGTAGGAAGGTGCTTTGCCCCCCCCCCCCCTCCCCTTCTCGTTTCTCTTTTTTTAATATCGCAGCTATCCCTCCTTTTTAACATTTAAGAGGAAACAAGTTTAATATTCATGGCTGTTAATAGAGAAGGGCCATTATCGCCGCCCCATTGTTCTGAGCCCCGCACAATGCTGCTTGTATTTTCATGTGTATATTCCCAAAGTTCCTTCTGAGCGTTTAGTGAGCACTTTAATATTCATGGGTGTTAATAGAGAAGCCCTCAGTATATTGGCATATTGTTGGGAGGTGTACATATTGGTCTGACTTTGAATAGCCACAGTCCTCTTTTCTTTTGCTCTGTTTTGCAGGGTTGATGGGCCAGGAGTAAATGGGCATTTTTCCCCCCCGTCTCCCCCTTACAGAGAGAACATCTTTATTCCAGTCCCAGACTTTCTGGTTTCCCATTCAGGACCCTCAGAAATAATGTCAGGCAGAAGAAAAGTGGAGCAAATCAATCTTTCATGGTCTTTTTGAGACCAATTTGACATCCATGGACTCTTCTTTTCTTTCACAGCCTACAAGGGGATGGTCAGGATCTGGACAAGGTTGGGGTCTGATGAGGGGAGACATGGGATCATAATGCAGCAAAGAGAGAAAAGAAAAGCAAAACAAGAAAAGATTGCAGGGATGGGGTGATGGAGGAAAAATGAGGGTGAATGACAGTGCAAGAAAGGAGATTAGAGCCCAGCAGCTGCTTTTTGGGGGGTGGGGGGGAGGGGGGAGCTCTCTCCCCTCTTCCAGCCCTCCGCATGAATAGGATTTGAACAGAGCTGAGATTGATTTATAGTTATTGCAGTTGAACATTTATTGCTCTTAAAGAGTGGCGGGGAGAAAAGAGAGAAAAGGGGTTTGAAAAGCTCCTTTCTGTATTAAAGAGGTATCAAATGAAGACTGCTGAGATAATATACAGTGGCCAATGGGAATTTGATTTGCTTTAAAATTTAACTCTTGTGGGGCCGCAGCTGACGGCCGCGCTGGGGAAGGCTCCGGGCTCCGCGGGCGCGCAGGGAGCGCGGGGCCGGCGCTGCTGGGGCCCGGAGCCCGGGGGGGGGGACAGGTCCCGGCCCTGGGGGGGGGACAGGTCCCGGCCCGGGGGGAGCCCCCTTTCGTTTGCCCAGCGCTGCCGAGTGCCCGGCTTCATCGCAAAAATCTCCGGGCGGCTCCGCGCACGGCTCGGGGACGGCAGCAGCGGCGGAGTTGTTTTTATTTCTTAGTGATTATAACAGATACGTGTGTGTATATATAAATATATCTATTTTATTTTATTATTATTATTTTTTTTTCCGCAAGGAGGGTAAAGGGAGAAGGGATGTAGAGCTACAAGATAGCCGGCGCGGGGAAGAGCCCTTTTCGGAGCTCTTTTCCTGCCCTGAAGCCGGAGGTTTCTCCTCTCCGGCACCAGAAACGCGATCGCAGCCGAGTCCCCCCGGGCGCAGAAAGGAGCCCATTGTTCAGAAGGGAGAAATACATTTTTAGCCGTGATTGAAAGCTCCCCTCTCGTTTGAACTCTAGAAGAAAGTCCCTGGCAGGGAAGAGCATCCCCCTCCCTCTGCCCCAACATCTGTTTGGAGCAATCCAGGCTCTAGGGCAGAGCCGGGCTCTGCCCCCTCCCAAAGTCATTAAAAAGATATTAGTTGAGCTGAGAAAAGTCCAGCGCAGCCCCCGATCCGGAGCAGGGGGGGTGAGAATCATTAAAGACGATTTGGGATTTGCCAGCGCTAATACCAGCCGAGGGGACACTGGAGGGGGGGGGGGGCGGGTAGAAAAGCCCCCCCCCGAGCAGCAGCCCCGCCGTGCCCCTCCTGCTGCCCGGGGTCCCGGTACCCGTCGCCCGCTCCGTGCGCCCCTCCGAGGGGGCAAAAAGAGGGGGCGGCTGGAGGCAGCGAGAGCTGGGCTGGGAGCCCAGGAGGCTCAGGTGCTCCGGCCGCATCCCCTGCACCTCCACCGGCTGCAAAATGCCCCGGTAGCCGGAGGGAAGGGGGGCAGGGGGGGGGATCATTGCACCCCTGCGGGTGCCGGGGGGAGCCGGGGCAGGAGGGATCATTGCACCCCTGCGGCTGCCGCAGGAGCCAGGCGCCTCCGAAGTTGCTAAATGTGTCATTTATTAAAGCATTCAGGGGGCTTTTCTTTGGCGTTTGCTTGCAAACTCACAAAGGCCGAGCTGCTGTTTGGGGGTCTTTTCTGATGGAAAAAGGGCTCGGAGACCCCCGGCACAAAAGAAATCCTGGCAGTGCTTTCAATGGCCGGGACTCAATGAGGGGGACCCTGTGCGCAGCGGGCGGGGGCGAGGGGCCGCCCGGTGCTGCCTGAAAGGCAGGCCTGAATGTAATGGGGAGATCTGCGTTTATTTGTTGGGATCACATTTAATTAGCTTAGTACAACCCTTGAAAGACAAAGGGACCTCAATCTGGATCCAATCTGAAGCTCGTTTGGAGAGCGAGGGCTCCTGGAAAAGTCAAAAGAGAGAAAGGAGAAAGAAAGGGGAGGCTGGGAGAGAAAGGGGCTGGGGGCCCAGCCAGGTGACTGGCACGCGTGAAACAAGGGGGCCTTTTGGGCACAAGGCAGGGCTCAAAAGGGAGGGAGGAAAATAGCCTCTTCCTCAGGTTTTACCTACTTAAACCCCCTGAAGGGGCTGGAGCTGAAAAGCCTCAATAGGGGCTAAGGAGGCTGCAAAGCAAACAGCAGCGCTGGAGAGGCGGCTCCGGCCCTGCCGCGGCAGCAGTTGGCAGCACTCGGTTATGGGAATGTGCCCAAATGTTACCTGCGCCCGGCACGGCTCCCGGGGGGGGGACACGATGGGGACAGGCGAGGGCCGGGGAGCCACAGCCCCCGGAGCCGTCCCCGCAGAGCTGGGTGGCAATGAGGGGAGCACGGCGGGCAGTGGGGGACCCAAGGGGGTCTCCCCAGGGTGTGCCCCTCGCTCCGGGCAGCTCCTTGTGTCCCCTGGCCTCTCCTGCTGGGACACGGTGGCACGGGGCACATGCAGGTGGGTGGCACGGAGGAGGCACCGCCACCTCCCCAGGGGGAAACAGGAGAGTGGCCATCCCTGGGGTGGGGGAACATCCATGGGATGGAGCCGATAGGACCCCTGTGCCCCCTTTGAGCCGTGCTCTGACTTTGGTTCCCTTTCTCCTCCTGGAGAGTGTGAGCAAGGAGAGGGCTGGGGGGTCTCCGAGCAGAGCCAGCCCCTTAGAGGGTCCGGGCACGGTGGGTTCGGTACGTTGAAGCCGTGGCCCCCCGAGCGAGCTCTCCAGCACACAGTGCTGCCGCCCCTCCGAGCCAGGCGGGCTGATTGCGCTGCTCGAAAAAGGAGCTTTAGGGCATTATTTGCCTCCATTTCACTCTGCGGGAGGCCGCGGAGCCGAGGAGGGATGCTGAGTGCTCTCCCCTCCGCTCTCACTTTCTTTCTTGTCTTTTTTTTTTTTTTTTCCCTTTTGAATTTTTTTTTTTTTTGAGTAGTATTTCCAAGATTATTTTGGCGAGGGGGTCACGGCACACAAAAGCAAACAGGGAAAGGAAGAAAAAAAAAAAAACAAACCAACAAACATCCTCGCCTTCCCGGCTGCATCTGACAGCTTCGCGCGGCTCAGGCGGCCTGCAAATGAAACATGATTGTGGCAAATTGCGGCGGTAACTCCTCGCAGCCCCGCGGTGCTGCGGCACGGCCAGCGGGACCGCCGGCGTGGGCGGACGGCTGCCAGCCCCCCCAAAGCAGCCCCGGCACGGGAAGAGTGGAAACAGCCCCATAAAGCAGCTCTGAGCCAGGGCTGCCCCTCACCGAATGTGTTGGGGTGAGGCAGGCACAGGGGGGTCCCCCCTGGTGCTCCCCAGGGTTTCCAGCAAGGCTGTGGGGCTGGGGACAGACCCCACTCACTCGTCCTCATCCTTGTGGTCTCCACACCGGGGGTGGATGCTGAAGGGGCTCCCCGTGGATAGAGGTTGGATGGAATGGTGCAGGAGGGAGAGAAGGAGATTTGGTGTGGAGAAGCAGGAAAACTGGCCCCCGTGACAGGGCGTTCGCATCCCACTGCTCCGTCTCCTGCATCCCACCACCACCTCTCCCAAACCCCACAATCACCTCTCCCAAACCCCACTATCACCTCTCCCAAACCCCACCACCTCTCCTATCTCCCACCACCACCACCTGCATCTCCCTCAGCAGCAGCTCCAGCACCAAAGACCCCCGCTGGCCCCCACACCACGACACCAGCCCGGCTCGGGCAGGGCAGGGCGAGCAGCCCCAGGGGAGCAGGCA